AAACAGTGGGGATGGTACCCAAAAAAACAGTGACGATTTGGGATAAGAACAAAAAGTGACGATGGTACTAAGAACAACCCGTGACGTTGGTAAACCCAAAAACCAAAAGTGACCCATGGTACCCCAAAAACAAACCGTGGACGATTTGGGACTAAGAACAAAGTGGGCGATGGTAATAAGAACAACAGTGACGATGGTTACTAAGAAAAAAAAGTGACGATGGGGACCAAGAACAACAGTGACGATGGTACAAAAAACAACGTGACGATTTGGGACCAAGAAAAAACAGTGACGATGGTACTAAAAACAACAGGACGATGGTACTTTAAAAACAAACAGGGGCGTGGTAAATAAGAAAAAACAGTGACGTGGTTTTAAAAAAACAGTGACGATGGTACCCAAAAACAACGTGGAAAGATGGGACTAAGAACAACAGTGACGTGGTACTAAGAAAACAGGGGCGATGGTACTAAGGGAAAACAAATGACGATTTGGTTTTAAGGAAAAAACAGTTGGGCGATGGTAAATAAGAACAAAAAGTGACGATGGTACTAAGAAAAAAAAGTGACGATGGTAATAAGAACAACAGTGACGATGGTACTAAGAACAAAAAGTGACGATGGTACTAAGGGAAAACAGTGGGGGGTTGGTTTTCTAAGAAAAACAGTGACGATGGTACTAAGAACAACAGTAAAGAATTGGGATAAGGGAAAAAACAGTTTTCGATGGTACTAAGAACAAATTGACGATGTTTCTAAAAACAACAGTGATGAAGTATCAAGAACCCAAAAGAATGACAATACCCAAAAAAAACAGTAATGACCCGTACCAAAAACAACGAGGGCGCAGTATTAAGTACAACAGAGATAATAGTTTTAAGAAAAAACAGAGATGAGAAATACCAAGAACAAAAAGAAATGGGCAGTACCCAAGGGGGGGCAACAAAAGATGACAGTACCAAAAAAAATCAGAAATGACAGTACAAGAGCAAAAACCCGATGGGCAGTACCAAAAACATCAGAAAAGACAGTAAACCCAAAAGGGAAAAGTAATGACAGTTCCAAAAAAAACCGAGACGACAGAACCCCAAAAAACAACGAGATAACAGTTTTTAAGAATACAGGGATGACAGTACCAAGAAACCCCAAAAGAGATGGGGCCCGGGCCAAAAAAAACAGTGATGGGCAGTACGAAAAGCAAACGGTGATGACCCCCCCTAAAAAAAAACAAAAGGAGATGACAGACCAAAGGAAAACAGAGATGGCAAATACCCAAAAAACAACAGAGATGACAGTACCAAAAAAAACAAAAAAGAGGGTGCAATGGGTAAGAACAACAAAGATAACAGTACCCAAAAAACGAGATGACAGTACCAAGAACAACAGTTTTCGTCCCAAAAGAACAACAGAGATGAAAGTCCCAAAAACGCAGAGATGGACTTTTACGAAGAACAAAGAGATGACACTGCTAAAAACAACAGTGTGGCGGCTAAAAACAACAGTGATGACAGTCCCAAGAACAACAGAGATGACAGTGTAAAAAAAAAACGTAATGACAGTATAAGAACAAAGAGAGACGTACCAAGAACAACGGAAAACAGTCCCAAAAAAAACAACAGGATGCAGTACAATAACAACAGGATGACAGTACCAAGAACAGCAGAGATGCATAACCAAGAACAATAGAGATAACAGTAGCAAGAACAACGAGATGACGTACCAAGAACAACAGAGAGACAGTACCAAGAAAGCGAGATGACACTGCAAAAAACAACAGTGGGGGGCAGTTTAAAAAAACAGGTGACGAAAAGAACAACAGAGTGAAGGCAAAAAAACAAAGTGATGACAGATAAAAACAACAGAGATGACAGTACCCAGAACAACAGAGTAACCGTACCAAGAACAACAGAGATGCAGTACCAAGACAACAGAGATGACAGACCAAGAACAGCAGAGATGCAGTACGATGAGAAACAGTAATGCGTACAAAGGAGCAACGTAATGACAGTCCCAGGAACAACAGTGATGCAGTCCCAAGAACACGAGAGAGACGTCCCAAAAACAGGTGATGACGTACTAGAATACAAGGGAGATGACAGTCCCAAAGAACAACAGAGATGACTCGGGCCCATAGGTAGGTCCCAAGATAGGTGCCAATCATAGAAGGATGGGGTAAGGAGAAGGGAGAGGAGAGAGGGGGAGAGAAATGAGAGCAGCTATGCTGGCAATTTGGCGGGAAAGTTGGCACTCCCCCAGGCAGGGGGCACTGCAGTGCCTCTCGCTGGATGCCGGTGATAGGACGCATCTTTTTTCCCCCACCCATCAGGAAGCTATCGCCACTCTGGTACACTCCTGGTCACCTCTCTCCCAATCAGTGCTGAAAAAGGTCTCCCCATCGGAAAAAATAACCCGAGATTGGTGGCGGGCTGGGGGGGAGGAGAGTGTCTCAGGTGGAGATCAGAGTGCCATCAGGCGATCCTGGCACCATGGCACTCTGCCCCCCCATGCATGGCTTTGGGCGTAATGGCGCCTTATCTTGATTTGGGCCACAGGGGCCATCAATGAATCATATCCGTGCCCTACCCCGTGTCATGCACCAGTGCCCACACCAGGTATACACCGTGCCAACACCAATCCCAACACCTTTGTATGCACCAATGTCATACCCAGGCCATACATCAGTGCCACACATCAGTGCCATAACCCAGTCCCAAAATCCCCCAGTCCCACACCCCATTTTTTTCCCCTACACCAGTGCTAGACACCAGTGCCTACATCATTTGGTAAACCCCAGTGCCATGCACCAATGTCATACCCAGTGCCATACACCAGGCAATACCCAGTCCCTTTCCCAGTGCTACACACCAGTGCCACACCCCAGTGCCACACAAAGTGTTAAAACCCAGGCCACACCCCAGTCCCACACCCCAGTGCTGAACCCAGTGCCACACACAGTGCCACACACCATTTCCCACCCCCCAGTGCCACACACGTGCCATATTCCAAAAACCAGAATTTTTTTCGTATTACTTTAAGAAATCCCAAAAGGGGGGTTAAAACACAGAAATAAATTATACCCCGTGAAAAGTGGTCTATTATAATATATTATGACAATTATATTATCATAATTATACTTAAGACATAAAAGAGCGTTTTGTTCATCAGAAAGTGGAACAATTATCTTAGAAAAACAATGGAACAATTATCTTAGAAGAACAATGGAACAATTATCTTAGAAAAACAATGGAACAATTATCTTAGAAGAACAATGGAACAATTATTTAGAAAAAAAAAATGGAAAAATTTATCTTAGAAGAACAATGGAACAATTATCTTAGAAAAATAATGGAACAATTATCTTAGAAGAACAATTATTGTCTTTATCATTCTGTACATCATTGTGTTTCTTATTCTCTGTGAGGTGTTGAAAAATGTATTGGAGAACAAGTGTGGTGTATACTGTGTATAACATGACTGGTATGATATCTTGTTCTGTTGTTCTTCAGGAGGAAGAACAGGTCAGTTTGTTCATTGGTGAGTGAGTGAGTTGTGTGTGGTGTGTGTGTGTGTGTGTGTGTGTGGGGTTTTGGTGTGTGTGTGTGTGTGTGTGTGTGTGTGGTTGTGGTGTGTTGTGTTGTGATTTATCCCTAGCCATTAACCCATACACGGAAAACACACTGATTTAGTATGCGTGTATGCACGATACATCTGCAATTAATATTCAATCTGTATAATCATACACATAACTTAGAGCCTTTACGTGTATTGGGATAAACCGTGTTTTCAAACCCATACACGTGTTTGCAAGGTCATCACGTGTATTTATACGAGTATCGAGTATTTAAAGGCATCTGTAAGAGAAGCCGGATGTGGTATTAACAAGGTGCACACGTGTCACGCACCAAAATTTTAAACACTGAGACATTTTCAGTTTAATATATATATGTTTACAAAACTATTTTCCCAGCCAGTATAGGTTTTGTGTATTTGATTGTATGTATGTATGTATGTTATATGTATGTTGCATGTATGTATGTATGTAGTTGTATTTTTGTTTGTATGAAAGTATGCATTTTTCGTATGTAGTATGAGTGTTCAACATGCATGTTCACTTGAAATTATGTGTTCGTGTATGTTACAGGAGATGAATGTCTTCAATATTAATATATATATATATATATAAAAATTTTTTTTATTATATATTATATATAAAATTTTATATTATTATTATATAATATTATATTATATTATATATATAATATTTATCTTACACTGCGGGTGAATCTCTTAGTGTGCTTTGCGCTAAAGGTGTCTAGCCTCAATGTATATACAATCAAGTAGCATATCTCAGTATCAGTACATTGACAGGTATGTTATTGCCTGTTTATTTATGAATTGTTTATATCTTAAGTTATAAAACTGAGGGTGTGTATACTCGTGTTCATACGTGAAGGGTGTTCCGTGCATATACACCCGTGGTTTACAAAATAATATTTAGGTATTAAGTATTTTTTGATGGGGTTTCAGGGGACGGCGCCTTTAAAGGGCCCTCGTGTAGGATGTCTGAAAAATAGCAATCAACTATCTTTTAGTAGATATATTTGAAACCTAATCCACCCTTCCCCCAGGATGTAAGAATTTATGGAACTACTCTCGGGAAGAGAGATGGTTACCATCAACGTGTTGGGGGTGTCCATGGTGTATAGGGGCTACCATATATTTAATGTATGGGAGGTACCCTGAAAACACTTCTAACCTTTGAAAAAGGGATCAAAAACCATAAAGTTAATGAACCATACTATTCTCTCACTAACTACATAGGGATATACCTCATATATGCTTCTCTTTATTCATTAAATAGGTCATTTTCTCCTGGATAACGGTAGTTGATGCAAAAGAAGATGAGTGTTACTGTGAGAACATGCAGCACCTTCACAGCAGAAGGGAGAAGAGTCGCAACTCTGAAAGTGTGAGGCAGGAAACACGGGAGAAAATGGTGTGGACATCATGTGAAAGTTGTATTGATCCACACACCTCTCCCGTGGTCCAGCACTCCGAAGATGTGGTGGCCGCTGCTGGTTTTTGCTCTTCTGTCGGTCCTTCGAAGCGGAGATGCTCATCAGTTCCAGACATTCGACAATGGGCAGATTTCCCCTATTGGGAACCTGGAACACCTGGTGAGGTCGCTGCAGAAGGAGGTGACGGACATCAGGAAGGAGGTTCACACGCGCATGGATACCATGAAATATGAACTGACCTGCGAGATTCGGAACATGAAGGAGGCGCTGTCGAAGGAGCGGGAGGAGATGAGCGCTAAGGTAGATCAGGTAGCTCTGGAGATGACAGATTTTAAGAAGAAGCTCAAGCGAGGGCTGAGGAGGGTCGGCACTCAGAATGATGACATCAAAGGTGAGCTGAGATCGCAGAAAGCTGAACTCTTCGCTGTGAGGAACAGCGTGTATGACTCTCGTGAGGAGGTGTTGGAAAAGGCAAATTAATCTTACGAAATGAAAGTACAAACGAGCTTAGTTGTTCATTAAGTGATCTACGTACCCAAACTCTATAAGATTTAAAAACAACCCGGCGTTCATCTCCGATGAGACAAGAAGATGATGGAAATATGAGGGGGAGGTAACTCATCCCCAAAACCCACGGAGCTGAAAATGGGGAGGATCCTTTTCCAGGATGCACCCTACCCCCCTCGACACTACGAATCGGTCTTGATGCCATGAACAAGACCTTCTCAAGAGTTTTGACCAAAATGGCCCGAGACCCCAAGACAGGAGAAAACCCCCTCATCCCGCGAGGAATATCCCCAGGAGTCACCTATCCTCCCAAAACCCTGCCCGAAAAAACTGCAAAAAGATGACAAAAGGGAAATACCTGGAGTACCCACCCATTTCCCGGGGCTGCAAGGAGCTTTTCTTAGGGGCTTTTATGGAAAACGGGGTTTCGCTCCAGCCACCGGGGGATGTCCCCGAGAGGTGTTCTGCGACCACCATACCCGGGGGTGGGGGGGGGGAGGGTGGGGCAGTAAAGGGGGCCCCCGCAAAACCGGGCACATTCCCCTTTAAAACCGTTCGTGGCCGAATACGAAGTGGGGGTTTGGTGAAACCCCGCAAAGGGAAAATGGTAGGTTAATTTCTTTTCATAAACCTACATTTTTAAACCCCTTTGTGTCTAAACTTCTACGTAAGATAGGCAAATCTGGGAAAATTAAAACCATTTTAGAAAAAAATCAGTGTGGAACTTTTAAATTGAACAATATTAACCCTAGTGTTGTAAATTGTGAATTTTTTTTCATTATTTGTGATTTGTTTTTTTTTTATTTAAAATTCCTCATTTACCATGAAATTCCCTTAAGATGATTTTTTTTTTATTTCATAGAGTGGTTAGGGATACCACAAAGGGGTAGCCCTTTTTCTTTTGAAAAAAATTTATCATTTAAAAAAAAGTAAACCCTTGTCAAAAGCAACCTGCCCCAGGAGTACATGATAACAGCCTTTTTGTTTTCCCCATCATCCCAGTGCTTTTTTCCCGTGGTTTCAGTATTTTAAAAAATTAAAATCCGTAAAAATCCAGGAGTGAACTACCTAGGTTTAGCTAGAAGGAGCGGGTGAGTTCCGTTAAGTCATGCATGACGTTTCCTCCATTCGTTTATGATCATTTTGTGTCAGTCTTCTAAAGTTCTTCAAAAAGTCTACCCAGTCTCCTTTATAGAAATGCACCTCCGTTTTCTTTATCTTCAAAGCGAGGACTTGTTAATTTCTTCCGTCCCCTGCGGCATTTTACATTATGTAAATATTTATATAAGATTATCTGATATTCCAATTTGAGTCTAAGATTTTAATAATACACTTACTTATTTTTCATTATCAAATTTTATATATTAAGACATATTGTTTATAACGAGCGGTTTTGATGTAATCTGGTTCCTGGACAGTTACCTAGATTTTTTCTATTTCCCTATTACTCACATTGTGGCTAACGCATTTTCATTGCTTGTTATATTCTAGAAAATAATAGGACCTAGCAGGGACCTTCGATGTGGCACGAGAACAATATTTCTAGTGCTAGTAGCAGTCTTAAATTTTCAGTTGTATGGGAAATCACTCCTTATGCATATGGGTGTCAAGTTCCTTTAGTTTTCCATGTTGTCTTGAGCTTGCACAGGACCTCGGTGCCATCCACCAGGTGGGCAGTATATGCTAAGCTCCTAACCGAAGACGAGGGGGTACTTGTGGCTCCTCCCATGGGAGACTTAGGTCACAGACACTCCCTAGAGAGGGAGCCAAGGCCGGCCACCACTTGCAAAAGGCCCGGGCCGGGAGAATATCGGCGAATCTTTAATAATAATAAATAATATTAAGCTGCTGAAGAAGTATGCAGGAGAATGCGAAAATCCTAGTGCAGTTATCGAACCCGAACCTTGTACCTTTTCTCATTCATACACAGAGTATAGTCAAGGAGATATTTGGAGAGGAGAATACTGCTCATAATACACACATATACACTGAGTATTGTCAGGAAAACACTCAATTATCTCTCATAATACACACACATGCACTCATACAGAGAGTGTTGTCAGGGATACACTCATAATGTACACGCATACGAGAAGCGTTGTTAATAATACACTCAGAGAGGGAGTGGGGGAAGGGGAGAGGAGTGGGGTGGTAAGTGAGAGTGGGTGTTGTGCACTCAACCTTATTGTGACAGTAAGTGGCACAAGTGCCAGTGCCTGCCAGGGCACACTCCATCAAAGTAGAAGACACTGGCTTGTACACCTGGCACTGAGAGAGTGCACCTGGCACTGTGAGAGTGAACCTGGCACTAAGAGAGTAGACCTGGTACTGAGAGAGTGCACCTGGCACTGTGAAAGTGCACCTGACACTGAGAGAGTAGACCTGGTACTGAGATAGTGCACCTGGCACTGAGAGAGTGCACCTGGGACTGAGTACATCTGGCACTGAAAAAATGTATCTGGCACTGTGTGAGTGCACCTGGCACTGAAAGCGTGCACCTGACACTAGGAGTGCACCTGGCAATGTGAAAGTGCACCTGACACTGAGAGAGTACACCTGGCAGTGTGAGAGTGCACCTGCCACTGAGAGTGCACCTGACACTGAGAGAGTGCACCTGGCACTAAAAGAGTGCACCTGACAGAGAGAAAGTGCACCTGGAACTGAGTGCACCTGATACTAACAGTGCACCTGGAACTGAGAGAGTGCACTTGACACTGAGAGAGTGCACCTGGCACTGAGAGACTGCACCTGAAACTGGGAGAGTGCACGTAACACTGACAGAGTGCACCTGACACTGAGAATGCACCATGTATAACCCCACGTTCGACCCCATGTATAACCCCATGTTTGACCACATGTATAACCCATGTATAACCCCATATAAAACCCCATGTATAAATCCATGTATAACCCCATGTATAACCCCATGTATAACCCCATGTATAACCCCATGTATGACCCGGTGTGTCTCTCCTGAACACAGGGTTGAAAGCACTGCACGCCCTGACCAGTGGCCGACCCCACCAGCTGAGGGCAGATATGGAGGATTGGGAGGGCAACACTGCCTGGGCTGCCTACACTTTCTTTGCGTTAGTACCTACCGTCTTGAAAGTTATCTTTAATCTCTAGAACTTTCTAACCCTAGCTTTCACTAGCTTTTTCTCTGATTCTAGCTTTCTCTCTAACAATAGCTTTCTCTCTAACCCAAGCTTTCTCAATAAATCTAGCTTTCTCTAAAACTTTCACTCTAACTCTAGCTTTCTCTCTAGCTCTAGCCTTCTCTCCAGCTTTATCTCTAAATTTAGGTTTATCTGTAACTCTAGCTTTCACTCTATCTTCCTCTCTAGCTTTCTAACTCTACCATTCTCTCTAGCTTTCTAACTCTACCATTCTCTCTAGCTTTCCCTTTAGCTTTCTCTCTAGCTTTCTCACTAACTATAGCTTTCACTCTAAGTCTAGCTTTCTCTCTAAATTTGTTACTTCCTCCCTAACTCTAGCTTTTTCAAGCTTACTCTTTAACTCTATCTTTCTCTATGTTTCTCTCTAAATGTGTGGCTTACTCCTTAACTCTAGCTTTCTCTCTAGCTCTATCTTTCGCTCTCTAGCTATCTGTAACAGTCTAGCTTTCACTATAGCTTTCTCTGCAATGCTCTGGATTTCTCTTAAAATTTTTACCTCACGTCTCTAGCTTTCTAATTTTTCTCTATCTTTCACTAGCTTTTTATTTAGCTTTTTCTAGCTTTTTATCTAATTTCCTCTCCAACTTTTTATATAGCTCTCGCTCTTAATATAGCTTCCTCTCTAGCTTTCTCTCTTTTTATATAGCTCTCTATAGTTTTATTTATCTTTTTCTAGATTTTCATCTAGTTTTTTCTCTAGCTTTTTATAAAGTTTTCTCTTTAGTTTTTTATGTCTTTCTCTCTCTAGCATTTTATATAGCTTTCTCTATAGATCTATCTCTTGCTTTCTAGATTTCTCTATAGATCTATCTCTTGCTTTCTAGATTTCTCTATAGCTTTATCTCCAACTCTCTAGCTTTCTCTAGTTTCATATCTACCTTTCAAGATTTCTCTCTAACTCTCTAGCTTTCTCTCTATTTTTGTCTCTAACTCTCCAGTTTTTGCTAGCTTTTATCTAGTGATAAATTTAGCATTCTCCCTAGCTTTTTATCTAGCTTTCCAGCTCTCTAGCTTTCTCTCTAGCTTTCTTTCTAGTATATTTCCTAGTTTAATTTCTCTTTAGCTTTGTCTTCAGGTTTCTTTCGCTTTCTAGCTTCTCCTCTTCTCTCTAGCTTTCTCTTTAGCTTTCCATCTTTCTACTTTTCTCTCTAGCTTTCTATATAGATTTTCTCAAGCCTTTTTTTCTAGTTTCTTTATAGTTTTCGCTTTATCTTTCTCTCTCCACTTATTTCTCTAGCTTTCTATTTTTCTCTCTAATTTTATCTAGCTTTCTCCACTTTTCTTTCTAACTTTCTCTAAATCTTTCTAGCTCCCTCCAGTTTTCTCCCTAGCTTTCTCTCCAGTCTTCTTTCTAGCTTTCTCTCTCTCTAGCTTTTTCTCCAGTCTTCTTTCTAGCTTTCCCTCAGTTTTTCTCTCCAGTTTTCTCTAACTTTCTCTCCATCTTTCTCTAGATTTCTCTCCATCTTTCTAGTTTTCTCTACATCTTTTATTCAGGGTTTCTGTCCAGCTTTCTTTCCTCTTATCTTTCTATCCAGCTTTTTTCTCTCCTGCTTTCTCTCTGGCTTTTTTTATATCTATCTCTCAAACTTTCTATCATGATGTTCCTGGCTTTCTCTCAAGCTTTCACTCTAAGTTTCTCTCTAGCCTTCTCCCCAGCTTCCTATCTTTAGAATTATCTCAAGCTTTCATTTTAAATTATCTTACCTTTCTCACTTTCTCTTGCTTTCTCTCTCTCTTTCTCTCCAGCAGTTTTCCTATCTAGCTTTCTCTCAAACTTTCTATCTAACGTTTCTCCATTTTTCACTTTAAATTTCTCTCTTGCTTTCTCTCTCTTTCATTCAGCATATTGCCTAGCTCTCTCACTCTCCAGCTTCTCTCTCTCACTTTTTTTGTTAGCTTTCTTTCTATCTAACTTTCTCTCCAATTTTCACTCTAAATTTCTCTCATGCATTCTCTTTCACTTTTTTGTAGGTTTCTCTCACTTTCTTCAGCTTTTGCTCTAGCTTTCTCACTTCCATGTTACTCACTTCCTACCTTTGTTTTTTCTCTTCATTTCTATCTTTCTTTCTTTTTCTTTCTCTACATTCTCATTTTTTCATTCTTTACCCTTCTCCCCTCTTTCTAACTTTCTAATTTCTCTCACTTTCTCCATTCTTTCACTTTCTCTCACTTTCTTGCTGTTGTCTCTTGCTTTCTCTCTTCTTTCTCTCATTTTCTTCCTTCTTTCTCTCAAATTTTCGCATTTTTCTCTCTTTTCTCTCATATCCACTCAGCTGCATATTCTGAATATTTTAAGTTGTTGTTTCTCTTTGTTTGCAATGTTGTTTGCAATGTTTATTTGTTACATTGTTACTGTTGTGGTTGTTGTTGTTATTGCTGTTATTATTGTATTGTTGCTGTTGTTGTTGTTGTTGTTACCGTGTTTTTGTTATTGCTGATGTTGATGTTATTGTTATTTTGTTGTTGCTCCTGCTGTTGTTGTTACTGGGTTGTTGTTGTTGGTGGTGGAGGTTGTGCTGTTCTTGTTATTGCTTTTGTTGTGTTGTTGCTGTTGTTATTGTGTTGTTGTTGCTGTAAAACGTACTGTACAACAGCCTGCACAAAATACTGTACAACCTTCTGTACAACAGCCTGCACAACAGTCTGTACAACAGCCTGTACAACCTGCACATCCTGTGCAGAGATAGGTTGCCCACTTGTCCTGCAGCTGGTGTTATTAAGGAAGGCTCCAGATCATATGTTACATTTGACAGGAGAACATCAGGCACTGACTGGTTGTCTTGAGCAAGTCACATTAACAACACCTGGGAAGACAATTATTAAAACAGTTGAATTTCCAACCTTTCACATCTGGGATGATTTCAATGGCTAACGTGAAATGTATACAAGGGATACATTGTACGTGAATGGTATGCATTAGCAACAGTATGAAAATTAGACACATGTGCAACATCTGGGTATCTTTATTGTAGACGTTTCGCCATCCAGTGGCTTTATCAGTACATTTTCAAGGACCTGATTGGAAGACAGTAGAACTACATACAAAAGATGAGGTAATCAGTCCCTCAGCCTTGGAACTCTTGAAGAGCACCGTAGTTTTGAAGAGACTCTTTAAGACTACGGTGCTTTTCACCACCTCCAGTGCTGAGGGACTGATTATAATCAGTTCCCCAGTCTTGGAGCTGAGGTAATTACCTCTTCTTTTTTATGTAGTTATACTGTCTTCCAATCAGGTTCTTGAAAATGTACTGATAAAACCACTGAATGGCGAAACGATTACAGTAAAGATACCCAGATGTTGCACATGTATCTGATTTTCAAGGGATACATTATACAATGGACTGCGGGTGCCTGTTTCTAGGGTAGGGATAACAGCACTAGCCAGCTGAGTCACAAGTGCTTCTGTGACGTGTAAACACTGGTAGGTCTACACATAAACGTAAGGTTCATTAAAATATACACTTATGTTTTAATAGCCACAAGGAGTTTCCAATTAAAATATAATTCATCAATCTTGCCTTCAAATTACTTTACATTCTCTTGTAAGATGTAGAATGAGGGGAGACATAACTGAAGTGTATAAGTGGAAGATGGGCATGAATAAAAGAGATACAAATAAAGTTCTGAGGATATTCCTTCAAGAAAAAACACGATTCAATTTGGATGTTTAAATTTAGAAATGATATACGAAAGTATTGATTTGGAAATAAAGAAGTAAATCAATGGAACAATTTGTCTAGTAGGGTTGTTGAAGCTGAAACTTCTGATAACTTCAAATTTAGGTTGGATAAATAGATAAGATAAGATAAGATAAGATAAGATTTCGTTCGGATTTTTAACCCCGGAGGGTTAGCCACCCAGGATAACCCAAGAAAGTCAGTGCGTCATCGAGGACTGTCTAACTTATTTCCATTGGGGTCCTTAATCTTGTCCCCCAGGATGCGACCCACACCAGTCGACTAACACCCAGGTACCTATTTGCTGCTAGGTGAACAGGACAATAGGTGTAAGGAAACGTGTCGGAATTTCCACCCGCCGGGAATCGAACCCGGGCCCTCCGTGTGTGAAGCGGGAGCTTTAGCCACCAGACCACCGGGCCACATAGAGAAGGTTGGATTTGAGTGGGACTTGACCATTAGTTATCAAAGTTTTTCCTTGGATAGCATTGAAAATGGGTTCTGTAAAAATATTTTTTTGTTAGAGAGTCTGGATTTGAGAAGAACCTGCCTAGTGTGGGCCAGTAGGCCTGCAACAGTGTTTCTCCTTTCTTATGTTCTTAACAACAGATGTAACATAGTTGAGCCTCTTGCAGGAAATCTCTTGACTGGTAGCCTATAGCAACATGTGATACCATGAGCACTGAAGTAGGCCTTCTGGCCCATGCTATGCAGGTTCTTCTTAGATCTAATACTTTTTAGTCATACATCTGTCTAACTTGCTTCTAAGCTTCTCAGACCAGCAGCTTCAACACACCTCTCCTGAGTCTTCACCTCACAACCTCTCCATACATACACACATCCTCCCTCTCCAGACATTACTCTTTTTAACTTGATGAAGCCTACTATGTGGGTGAATCATTGGCAGTAAAGGACCACATTATACTTCGCTTTTGTCCATTTTTTCCATCATATTGGGATTTTATGCCAAGATGGTTGCCTGAACATAAATGCTTCTTAGACCATTACATTGCAAAATTATGCTGGTAACAAATTTGTGTATTTCACATTTTTTTCCATCATTGCCTTCAGGAAAAGATTCTCTACCCTTTCAGGAACAAAATATATATATGTACATATTTTTTTAAATTCTTGACACTGTGAGCAAGTATACCAGGAATGGTGAGCAGTTATTTAGGACTGGGCTAACAGCACTAGCTCGTTCAGCCACAGGACCTACTACTGCAGTGTATCAGATATTACAATCAAAATAGTTAAACATATGAATGTGAGAGATAAGAATAGATAATTTTACTGTGGATTTTGGCAACAATGAAAGAAAAAGCTTGAAGAAAAAATTTCAGAAAAATAGCATAATGATTATTAGAAAGCAGGAATAGTCTAAAGAGAAAGATAAAGAGGGAGAAGACACAGAAGAAAAAAGAATTCTTAACATTAGTTATATAAAAAAGCATTTAAATGATTTAATAATTATTTCATGTGCAAAAAAAATCAATTACTTGACAGTATTTCAGTTATTTTTTCATCTTGTTATTTTGTGTTTTTGTTAATGTTTGTGTCGTGGTTCCCAATGTTTGTGTCGTGGTTCCCAATGTTTGTGTCGTGGTTCCCAATGTTTGTGTCGTGGTTCCCAATGTTTGTGCTAAAAAAATAATTTGGGTGTTATTGCCTTTTTCAACGTATGGTTTTAGTTTGCATTTTTGCTTGTCATTTCTGTTGTTGGTGGTGTCGTCTGTTGTGAAGAATGTCCTTGTTCTTGGAGACGGAAAAATAAACACAAGTTTGTGTTTGTGACTTGGTAAAGTCCACTGTGTGGGCGAAACATAGTTAATAAAACATCGTATTTTACTGCATTTGTGATTATTTTTCCATCGTGTCGGTACTGTGTACCATTTATCTCCGTAACACTGTAACTGACTCCTCTGGTTTGTGTTGGTATCCAGGGTGTCGGGTGAGGAGGACAAGTACAGACTGAGGATCGCTGGTTACACTGGCACCGCTGGAGACAGTATGAGACATTCTCACCATCAGATGTTCTCCACTGTGGACCAGGACAATGACCAGGAGAACTGTGAGTATGAAAGAACTGCAAAGTTGGGGACAGGAAGTGTAACGATGTTAGGTAGAAAGAAGTGGAGACAGGAAATGTAAGGATGATATGTATAGTAGAGATGGAAAGGAGAAGAGAGATATGGAGATTATGGAAGGGAGAGAAGAGAGATAAGGAGGAATAAAAGATAGATAGTAAGGGGACATAGGTAGAGAGGAAGAGTTGCTGTATAGAATAGAGAGAGAGGGAGGAAGGAGGGAGATTCTACCTTCTCTTTCTCTTGTTATCTCACACAATGTTCACCTGGCAACGACACTCACCAATAGTCTAAATGATCAAAGACCTGAGCAGTGAACAGCAGCACACACACACACACACACACACACACACACACACCACACACACACACACACACACAACACACACACACACACACACACACACACACACACATATATATATATATATATATATATATATATATATATATAATATATATATATATATAATATATATATATATATATATATATATATATATATATATATATATAATATGCAATAAGATAACAATAAACAGGTGATTTCAGAATATGCAAAACAACCACTGTGAAAAATAAAGAAATTCCAAGCGCTTTCGTGACTACTCACATTATCAAAGAATTTCTCTATTTTTCACAGTGGTTGTTTTGCATATATAATATATATATATATATATATATATATATATTATATATATATATATATATATAATATATATATATATATATAATATATATATATATATACATGTGTGTGTGTGTGTGTGTGTGTGTGTGTGTGTGTGTGTATATATATATATATATATATATATATATATAATATATATAATATATATATATATATATATATATATATATACATATATATATATATATATATATATGTATACATATATATATACATATCAAATAGTTATAATTGGTTGTCCCTTCAACAGGGGGAAGCTGTGCTCGTGGTCGTGGAGGAGGTGGGTGGTGGTGGGGTCGCTGTGCTTGTACTCAACCCACCGGACAGTACCGCCGGGGTCGCTATCAGGGTCCCGAGCGGGGAATCACTTGGTGGCACTGGAAGGACTCTAACTACTCGTTAAAGACTCTCCTCCTGAAAATTAGGCCGCTGGAATGATGGAACAGCGACGACAAGCCCAAGGAGTGAGCTGGAACAACATATCAAGCAGTTCCCACAACATTGTTCCAGCTTTTCACATAGGCTGGTACAATATATTTTTATTTATGCAAAGATTTTCCAACATAATCCACTGAGCAGTGCGCTGCAATGGGCCACAATTGCAAAATAAATGTATACATTATGTTCCAATGTACTAGAGGACTGTGTTCATTGAGGTATGCTGGTATATCACATTGTTCAGTGAAGTATGTTGGTATATCATAACGCAGTTACTTGAACTCTCTAAGATTTCTGATGGAAAATAGAATATCTATGTCTATAGTCTAGTTACCACCCCATATTCACTCCCTAAATGAATGTGGTTTGTCGTCTATGTGGCCTCGGATACACTTACGGGCTTCCATGTGTCCTCATGAACTTTATGACTTAGTCTATGTGTCTTTAAGCACTTCATGACTTGGTCTAGTCTCTGGGACTTGGTAAAACTTAGTCTCCTCAACTGTTAAGTTGCTTTGTGTTCAGTAACTTTAGGCAATCCAAAAGGTCTTTAATCATCTGTGTACAGTAGTTTAAATGTAAGGTTGAAGCTAACAAAGTATCTCGGTCTTTATATTGGCCAGAAAATAGCATTAGCTTAATAATATTTTCTGTCTTCAGTAGTTCCTCTCCTGTGACCTAAGGATAGCTTTATGCAAAGTGAACCCCCAAAAAATAAATACCTCGATTTTTGATTCAGCTTCATGACTGTGTTCAATTACGGAGAATTCTTGTTCCATTTGTTCTCTTGACTGATGATATATTCCCCATATGGTAACTTATTATATGCACAATTATTTATAATATACCTCAAAAAACACGCTTAGCAAAGTAAGTGTCTTTGATCTGTAGCAATATCAATCAAGAACACATTAATATCAAGCGAATTTCTGGTAATTTTAGCAGGCCATGTGAGATACTGGCTTTGATACTTGTCCGTCATAAGTCTTGCAAGATACCAGCTGATAAATACACATGATACATTGTCTCTGGTATCAGTTAATACATGTCCTTGTAACTGAAATGTCTTGTTAGAAATGTATTGAGGAATGCCAGTGAATGAGAGACCAATATAGTTTAAGATTCTTCAAGTAATGAGTGCAGCTTCTGTCCATTAGTCTTCTTGTTGTGGTTTATAGGGCACCTTGTGGATCACGCAGTATCCAGCCCTCTGTCGACTAACCGAGGAGCTTTGTCTTCACTCCCTCATTGGTAATTTCACTGGAACAGCCAAGAGGAAGCCAATGATTTAGCAACAGGAATGATTTAATTTTTAGCTTAAGAATGATACCGACAATATGCGCTTAGATTCCATTTGGTATTATTATCTCTCCTGTTTGTTCGCGTGGATGATAGTTCCCGCAGTCGATTGCAATGAGGGTAATACTTGTAAGCACTCTGTTAAGGATGGAAAAAATTATATGAAAATAACACCTATTTAAAATAGTAAAGAGGGGACCTTGAATTAGAAAGACGTATTGTTAAGGGCCTTCCTCTTGCAGAAGCCACAGATTTTCATCAGAGTTCTGAAAGTGAAAGTTAAGGGGTAAGAACTTTGCAGATGCATGTGTTCTGACTGGAAGGTACTGGGTGTTTGCGCTGGTGTAATCAGTGGCAGTGTTATGATGGTGCAAGTATGACCAAGGCGGAGTAACAGATGTCTGTAATTAAGCTGATGTTCGTAATTAAGTTTACTGATCTGTGATGTTCAAGGTGTTCAAGGCAAATTATTTTTTTTTAGATGATAATTTAACATCATTTAAGGAACTGTTATAGAAAAGGTTAGTGAAAATGCTCTTGGTAATTAGACTAGTTGTGATACATTCTCTAATTAGCATTGTAATCCACGTAATTAGTGACCTTATAATTGGTGACTAAATTACCTAACTCTAGATAAAAAAAACTGTGATGTTGGTGACTAAAATCTGTGTTGAGAACTAGAGAACTATAGCTAAAAAATGTTAAAAGTTTATAGTCTAACTGGTTAGCTAGACATAATGAGATTACTAATGTAGTTTGAATGTGATATTTGTGGGGTTTAAGGGCTGAAGTTTTGAGCTAGGATAGACAAGAGTGAAATGTTGATGGAGACTGCAATGTTCGCTAGGAGAATGGCTAGGATATGAGAGGGTGTTGGAGGGTGGTTCAGCAAGTACTAGAATGGTTCAGAAAGTGCTAGGATGATTCAGAAAGTGCTAGAATGGTTCAGAAAGTGCTAGGATGGTTTAGAAAGCGCTAGGATGGCTCAGAAAGAGCTAGGATGGTTCACCAAGTGTTAGGGTGCTGGGAGCGTGTGTTGAGGCGTTTAAAAGTTAACATTAATCTTGTTAATCAGGTTCAGCACAGGTTATGAACAAGGTAGAAGATATTACATGTCAGTGAGATGAGAGAGGAAGGGACAGGAAATGCAGAGCTTTAAATGAAACGTAAGTAAGCTCTATGTAGAGCTTTATCATGATTGATCAAGATATACACTGGGTGACGCATGACTGAACAAAGCTCTACACAAAACGAACATGACTTGATAAAGCTCTACACAGAGTGAATTAAGACCTGACAAACTCTACATACAATAAACATGAGTTGACAAATCTCTACACAGCTAAACATGAATTGACAAAGCTCTACACAGAATGAAATATGACTCGACAAAGCTCTACAGAGAGCAAACATGAACTGACAAAGCTCTACACAGAGTGAAACATGACAAAAGCTCTACGCAGAGTGAAACATGATGAAGCTCTACACAGAGTGAAACATGACGAAGCTCTACACAGAGTGAAACATGGCGAAGCTCTACACAGAGTGAAACATGATGAAGCTCTACACAGAGTGAAACATGACGAAGCTCTACACAGAGTGAAACATGACGAAGCTCTACACAGAGTGAAACATGACGAAGCTCTACACAGAGTGAAACATGACGAAGCTCTACACAGAGTGAAACATGGCGGAGCTCTACACAGAGTGAAACATGATGAAGCTCTACACAGAGTGAAACATGACGAAGCTCTACGCAGAGTGAAACATGATGAAGCTCTACACAGAGTGAAACATGACGAAGCTCTACACAGAGTGAAACATGACGAAGCTCTACACAGAGTGAAACATGGCGAAGCTCTACACAGAGTGAAACATGACGAAGCTCTACACAGAGTGAAACATGACGAAGCTCTACACAGAGTGAAACATGACGAAGCTCTACACAGAGTGCAACATAACAAACCTCCACACAGAGTAAAACATGACAAAGCTCTACACAGAGCCGATCGTGACTCTACATAATGAGCAGTGTCAACCAGACACAGGTTGAGATAGAGTAATATAACCTCCAAATGTTTCTTGCCCTCTCAGAATTAGACAACATCAAAGAATTTAGAAAGGCGAGGAGCGCGAGTGAGCACTCATCCTCTCCCATACTTGAGTATAAGTCAGTGTCAAGAATGAGTGCCTCGTGCGGATGATAGCTGGATGATAGCCCAGTTATCATCCCAGTATTTATGGCCCAGCGATGGTACAAAAGTTTGAAAGCATATTTTTACTGGTATTAATGTGTGTTTACAGTGATGGTGGTTCCTGGCTGAACGAGAAAGATTTTGTTGAACCCAGATACTCAGGTTAATACTTAAACTGACTCTTTAACCTCCAGGTTAATACTTAAACTGACTCTTTAACTTCCAGGTTAATACTTAAACTGACTCTTTAACCTCCAGGTTAATACTTAAACTGACTCTTTAACTTCCAGGTTAATACTTAAACTGACTCTTTAACCTCCAGGTTAATACTTAAACTGACTCTTTAACCTCCAGTTAATACTTAAACTGACTCTTTAACCTCCAGGTTAATACTTAAACTGACTCTTTAACCTCCAGGTTAATACTTAAACTGACTCTTTAACTTCCAGGTTAATACTTAAACTGACTCTTTAACTTCCAGGTTAATACTTAAACTGACTCTTTAACCTCCAGGTTAATACTTAAACTGACTCTTTAACTTCCAGGTTAATACTTAAACTGACTCTTTAACCTCCAGGTTAATACTTAAACTGACTCTTTAACCTCCAGGTTAATACTTAAACTGACTCTTTAACCTCCAGGTTAATACTTAAACTGACTCTTTAACCTCCAGGTTAATACTTAAACTGACTCTTTAACTTCCAGGTTAATACTTAAACTGACTCTTTAACTTCCAGGTTAATACTTAAACTGACTCTTTAACCTCCAGGTTAATACTTAAACTGACTCTTTAACTTCCAGGTTAATACTTAAACTGACTCTTTAACCTCCAGGTTAATACTTAAACTGACTCTTTAACCTCCAGGTTAATACTTAAACTGACTCTTTAACCTCCAGGTTAATACTTAAACTGACTCTTTAACTTCCAGGTTAATACTTAAACTGACTCTTTAACTTCCAGGTTAATAATTAAACTGACTCTTTAACCTCCAGGTTAATACTTAAACTGACTCTTTAACTTCCAGGTTAATACTTAAACTGACTCTTTAACTTCCAGGTTAATACTTAAACTGACTCTTTAACCTCCAGGTTAATACTTAAACTGACTCTTTAACTTCCAGGTTAATACTTAAACTGACTCTTTAACTTCCAGGTTAATACTTAAACTGACTCTTTAACCTCCAGGTTAATACTTAAACTGACTCTTTAACTTCCAGGTTAATACTTAAACTGACTCTTTAACTTACAGGTTAATACTTAAACTGACCCTTTAACCTCCAGGTTAATACTTAAACTGACTCTTTAACCTCCAGGTTAATACTTAAACTGACTCTTTAACTTCCAGGTTAACACTTAAACTGACTCTTTAACCTCCAGGTTAATACTTAAACTGACTCTTTAACCTCCAGGTTAATACTTAAACTGACTCTTTAACCTCCAGGTTAATACTTAAACTGACTCTTTAACCTCCAGGTTAATACTTAAACTGACTCTTTAACTTCCAGGTTAATACTTAAACTGACTCTTTAACTTCCAGGTTAATACTTAAACTGACTCTTTAACCTCCAGGTTAATACTTAAACTGACTCTTTAACCTCCAGGTTAATACTTAAACTGACTCTTTAACTTCCAGGTTAATAATTAAACTGACTCTTTAACCTCCAGGTTAATACTTAAACTGACTCTTTAACCTCCAGGTTAATGAGTAAATTGACTATTTAACCTCCAGGTTAATGAGTAAATTGACCATTTAGCCTCCAGGTTAATGAGTTAAATGCTTATGTTACTTCCAGGTTAATGATTTAATTGCGTATGTAACCTCCAGCTAAACTGACGATTGCTGGAGAGATAATCTAACTGTTGAAGGTTCCCCTTGATGTTAGTTAAAGAATTTGATCCTTGCAACAGAAGCTATTCTGCCTTTGATTACCTATCATTGAGAAGTGCATCTAATTCCTTGGATGAAAAGCCCTTCAGGCACATCAAATTACGTTTCTTGAAAGGACTGGAATTAATATTTCTCTCGTTCATCCTAAATTAACAATTAATATTGTTTCTGTTCATCCTAGAAAAAAAAATAATATTTTTCTCGTTCATCCTTGAATAAAAAATATTGTTAATGTTCATCCTAAAATAAAAATAAATATTGTTATTTTTCATTCTATAAGAAAAATTAATATTTTTCTCTTGAGTGTTAGAATAAAAACTAATATTTTTCTCGTTCAACCTAGAAAAATAATATTGGTCACGTTCCTCCTAGAATAAAATATATTGGTCAGGTTCATCCTAGAATAAAATATATTGGTCACGTTCATCCTAGAATTAAATTAATGTCACCCTCATTCTAGAATTAAAATTAATATTGTTGATGTTCGTCCTAGGATGATAATTAATATTTTTCTTGTTCGTTTTTTTATTAAAAATTAATATTGTTGACGTTCGTCTTAGGATAAAAAATATTTTATTGTTCGTCCTAGAATAAAATTTAATATTGTCGACATTCGTTCTAGGATCAAAAATATTTTTCTTGTTCGTCCTAGAATAAAATTTAATATTGTCGACATTCGTCCTATGATAAAAAATTAATATTAAGGATGTTCGTTCAACCATAAAAAACAATATTGTTGCGTTCGTCCTAGGATAAAAATGGTGTCCTAATATACATATACATATATATATATATATATATATATATATATATATATATATATATATATATATATATATATATATATATAATATATATATATATATATATATATTATATATGTATATATATAAATATATGTATGTATATATATATATATATATATATATATATATATATATATAATATATTATATATATATATATATATATAATATATATATATATATATATATAATATATATATATATAAATATATATATATATATATATATATATATATATATATATATATATATATATATATATATATATATATATATATATATATATATATATATATATATATATATATATATATATATATATATATATATGTAAGGAGACCAGAGTTAAAAGTGTATCATAGATGTGTATTAGTTATTATTAAAATTATATTTAACGAATTTAACCATCAGAAAAAAGGATAGTCTACTATCCTACTCGAAATAGTGACAGACTAGTTCCTATCCATTGATAACTGTCAGTACAGCACAGACTATCCCACTATCCACTGGTAACTGTGTCAGGATACCACAGACTATCCCACTACCACTGATAACTGTGTCAGGATACCATAGACTATCCCACTATCCACTGGTAACTGTCTCAGGATGCCACAGACTATCCCACTACAACTGATAACTGTGTCAGGATACCACAGACTATCCCACTATCCACTGGTAACTGTCTCAGGATGCCACAGACTATCCCACTACCACTGATAACTGTGTCAGGATACCACAGACTTTCCCACTATCCACTGGTAACTGTGTCAGGATACCACAGACTATCCCACTATCCACTGGTAACTGTCTCAGGATACCACAGACTATCCCACTACAACTGATAACTGTGTCAGGATACCACAGACTATCCCACTATCTACTGGTAACTGTCTCAGGATGCCACAGACTATCCCACTACCACTGATAACTGTGTCAGGATACCACAGACTATCCCACTATCCACTGGTAACTGTGTCAGGATACCACAGACTATCCCACTATCCACTGGTAACTGTGTCAGGATACCACAGACTATCCCACTATCCACTGGTAACTGTGTCAGGATACCACAGACTATCCCACTGGTAACTGTGTCAGGATACCACAGACTATCCCACTATCCACTGATAACTGTGTCAGGATACCACAGACTATCCCACTATCCACTGGTAACTGTGTCAGGATACCACAGATTATCCCACTACCTCTGACAACTGTGTCAGGATACCACAGACTATCCCACTGGTAACTGTGTCAGGATACCACAGACTATCCCACTATCCACTGATAACTGTGTCAGGATACCACAGACTATCCCACTATCCACTGGTAACTGTGTCAGAATACCACAGACTATCCCACTATCCACTGATAACTGCCAGGATAGGACAGACTATCCCACTATCCACTGGTAACTGTGTCATTGCCATTAATCAGTGCCATAGATCAGTGCCATAGTTCAGTGCCAAAGATCAGTGCCACAGTTCAGTGCCACAGATCAGTGCCATAGTTCAGTGCCAAAGATCAGTGCCACAGTTCAGTGCCACAGATCAGTGCCATAGTTCAGTGCCAATGATCAGTGCCAAAGTTCAGTGTCATAGATCAATGCCATAGCTCAGTGCCAAAGATCAGTGCCATAGTTCAGTGCCGTAGTTCATCCTAGAATAAAAAGTTAATATATTTCTCTTCATCCTAGAACAAAAATTAATATTTTTCTCCTTCATCCTAGATTAAAAGTATTGTTAATGTTAATCCTAATATAAAAATATTGTTAATATTCATTCTTTAAGAAAAAAATAATATTTTTCTCGTTCATGATAAAATAAAATCTAATATTTTTCTCGTTCAACCTAGAAAAATAATATTGGTCACCTTCATCCAAGAATAAAAATATAATTCGTCACGTTCATTATAGAATAAAAAAAATATTGGTCACGTTCATCCTAGAATAAAAAATAACATAGGTCACGTTCATCCTAGAATAAAATACAATATTGGTCACGTTCATCCTAGAATTAAATAATTGTGTCACCATCATTCTAGAATAAAAATTAATATTGTTGATGTTCGTCGTAGGATAAAAATTAATATTTTCTTGCTCGTTTTATGATGAAAAATTAATATTGTCGACATTTGTCCGAGGATAAAATATTACTATTTTTGACGTTCGTCCTACAATAAAAAAATAATATTGTTGATGTTCGTCCTAAGATAGAAATGGTGTTCCTGCATTTATATATATATATATATATATATATATATATATATATATATATATATATATATATATATATATATATATATATATATATATTATATATATATATATATATATATATATAATATATATATATATATATATATATATATATATATATATATATATATGTGTGTGTGTGTATATATGTAAGGAGGCCAGAGATAAAAGTGTACCATA